AGATATAACTCTTCTCTATCCAATACTGTTTTTAAGAATTGTTCATGTTAAAAAAAAAAAAAAGAATTGTTGGTGTTAGATATCTGCCTGTTCATTGTTTCTAATTTTTGCACTCAGAGTTTTATTCATCCATTCCCTTTTGGTAGATCTCTAAATTGCTTCTAAACCCCCATTCCTGTGGAACTGTGAGAGAGTCCTAGCATTCACACTGCCTGACCAAATTTCTGCATCTTAAAATATTTGCACAGATAATTTCATTAAACAGCACCAGATATTTACACTGACCAGTTTACATTCTGAACACCGGTTTGTGGGACTTCCAGTTTTCCCACATGCTCAACAATCCTTGGTATTCCCCACTTTTCTAATTCTTATTAACCCAATTGGCAAAAAAGTAATGTTTCATTGTTATTTTCATTTTCCTCATCACTAATAAGTCTGCTCCTGAGTGCCACAGTCCGGCTGCAGCAAAATAACCAGGGGGTGACGAGCAACTTGTGTAGATTGATACAGCAGGAGTAGGAGCCAGAAGCCATTTATTGTAGGACCAGAGCGATATTTATACATTCCACACAGCTTATCTTAATTAGCATAAACTAGATACAGCAGTCAACCAATAAGGAATCTCCACACTTAATGGCTCGCTTTTGTTACTTCATAAACCACTCCCCCTGGCATTTTGCCAGGCGCCATCCAGAATTGTTTACAGACTCTAATACCTGAGTCTTTACTCTCAACCCTCTACAAAATAGGAAGTAGTGGCATCAGAGACTAGAACCAGGGCCAATACAATCTGAGACTTCCCAACATTAAATACTTGATTCTACAAGGCAGTTGTCCACCCCTCCTAACCCACATGAGCTGTGGCCATGCCATGCCTGGTAAGAGCCGAAGGAATTCAGTGACTCCATGTGTTGGATCAGTAGTGACAACCCAAGCAACTACCCCATTCCCAAGCAGTGGCAAAACTGCAAGTCCTTCGCAGGCCCAGCTGCAACTGAAGGTGCTGCCCATCAGGGAAGCTGTGCAGACTCACTGCTTTAACACTTCTGTCAAAGAAGCCCACAAGTGCCATCTTATCAGAGGATCAATTTTATATCAGAGGGTCATTAAATTCTTTTTTATGAGAATCAAATGGGCTTTTGCTGCTGCATGTTGTACGGCCGCTCGTCCGAAACTGGAGATGAAATCAAAGTGGAAGAGATTTAACCAAATTATCCATCTTCAGAAAATAAGCTCCACTGCAAATGTATTTTTGATGTGGTATTGTGCAACACAGAGAGAGGAGAAATAAAAATACTCTAATGGTCCTGTTATATACAAACAGGAGGATGCTGTGAATTTAACCCTCTGTGGGAGCAGTTTCTCTCTTTCCCATTGAGAATGAGGGGCTTTAGGAGTTGGAGAGTTGAATGATCAAGGTACAAAGCTCCTGATGGACTGCACTGAAGCTACTTGAATTGCATATTATCCCCCACACACACACACAAGGTAAGAGAACATTTGAGAATAGCCTTTAATTTTCTATAAAAATTTGAATACTTGACATGGAAGCCTCTCCCAAAGTGTGTCTTGCACCCTCACCTTGCAAGACTGACTTTTCCATCATAAAACTTCCCACCAGCCTAGAAAGAAAGGTCAGCAGGCTCCCAGGGTAGTCCTGCAGCCAGATCAAGTCTCTTCTCAATGTGCTCATCCCTTCCAGTACAGCCAGAGGGTTTGCTTTTTTGTGGAGTTATTTGCAATACATATTCATGAATTTTTTCAAATTTTGATATCTTGGATAATAGGAATAACAGGAAAGAAGAAGTTCAGGAAGTATGCTTGAGATTACTCAGAAACTTGAAGGTACTTAGAGAACATTATTTGCTCCTGCTATGTCCCTGGCCTCTTCTTCTTCTTTTTTTTTTTTATTGGTTGTTCAAAACATTACAAAGCTCTTGACATATCATATTTCATATATTAGATTCAAGTGGGTTATGAACTCCCATTTTTACCCCAAATACAGATTGCAGAATCACATCGGGCCTGGCCTCTTCTTAGAATCCTTTGACCTACAAAGTCTTTGAGGAGCAAAAGAAAGGAGTCAAAATTGTCAAAAGAAAAAAATGGCAGTGCTTATTAAATTAGACACTGTGTAGAGCTTATGATTATGTGATTGGGGCTACAGAGGAACACAATAATTAAGAAGGAGGAAATGTGTTTGGATGAGACCTAAGTAGATCATTCTAGGGATGAAATGCATGATGAGAGTGATTGCTACCCATATGCAGAGATCACCAGAGTGCATGCTGTGACCATGATATGTCTCACCTGTGCAGAGCCAAGATAATGGGCAGAATTAAAGTCATAGCCATCTCACTCAGTCTCCTGTGCCCTGAATGGTGGACATTGGACCCATGAATAGGTCCCACATATGGCTTTTCAGGGCATCCATACTATCATTCCACTCTCTAGAATACCCTTAGTTTCTGCTTCTCAGATTTTGATGTTTTCCCCATTCTGAGTAAGGATGAGTAGTCTTTAAAAGCATGCCTTCCAGTGGTTCTGCAAAGAACACTGATACCTCAGGAGGATGCCGAGGAGAGCCATGAAGCACATCTCAGGGCCAAAGTCTAATACTGGGAGTACTCAAGAGGCCCTTCTGCCTGGTTCTGTTTTGCTCTCTGGCTCCTCTGCCCGGTTCTGGTTTGCTCTCTGATGCCATCTCTCAGAGATCATTTTTTTTCCATGCAGACCAGCAAATATGCAGCTCTGCATTGGATGATATAGGGTTAGTTTCGTAGGTGTCCCACTGCCTAGCAGTGGATTAGAAGACTCACTGGGTCCTGGGGAGGGTGACTTCTCTCTGACTAATGGAGCCCTTGCCTCTCAAAGGTCCAGCTATGTTTTATATTTGCCATAAGCCATGCATATGCTCTTCAGGGTAAAAAGAATAAAAAGAAAACTATTTGCAAGATAAGTAAAGAGAAATGTAATCCCTGAGTGGGATGAAGGGTGCTTTGAAATGAATGGGGGATAATCCTTTTGTTGTCTATTACAAATGTACTTTATTTCTGCATTATCTGACTATAAGAATATGCCATTCGCTTTAGTGACAAAGCCATTGCAGTTTCTTCTCTTTCTGTTATCTTAAGTGTGGCTACAAGGAGGTTTATTGACTGGGGTCTGAGGCAGCCAGCCCAGTGGGGGCAGCTGGGTCTCCTGTGGCCACTGTGGCTTCTGACAGATTGAGTTTTGTACCAGGCTCAGGATAGCAGTAAAAGGAGGTTAGGGAAGTGACTACATCAGGGTCCAACCCCTACCGGCTTCAGAGGCTGCAGAACCCAGTGCTCTGTGCACAGGGATTTTCAATAACCCGAAAAGTCATAACTCTGTCCCTTGCTCTGTCTGAGACCTGGACTAAAGTCTTTCTTTCATGTTCTGGCATTTGGTTCCCTTAAAGGTATGACAGGAAAATTCTGAGGGCTCGTCAGCCAGCATTACTTTAAATGTTCCATTCTTCTTTCTGCTTCTCCCCTCAAGCCCTCTCTGCTTTCCTTCTTCCATTTTCTTCCTTCTTTTGCAAGAAGGAAGCTCCCTGGGGGAGGCAAATATGTTAGTCAGCTTTTTGTCACTATGACAAAACACCTGAGAAAAACAACTAATGGGAAGGAAGATTTATATTGGCTCATGGTTTGAGTAATTTCAGTCCCTAGTCATCTGGCTTCGTTGCTGGGCCTGAGATGAAGCAGAGTATCACTGTGGAAGGTTGTGGTGGAAGAAGGCTGCTTGCCTCATGGTGTCCAGGAAGCAAAGAGAATGAGGAAGGGGCCAGGGACAACAAACACCCTTCCAAGGCACACCCCTAGTGACCTACTTTCTCCAACTAGGCCCCACCTCCTACAGTTTCCACCACCTCCTGATAGTCCATTTCAATAATAAACCTATAATCCATTGAAGAGATCAGAGCCCTCATGCTCCAATCACTTTCCCACTTCTGAATATTGTTGCATGGGAGCCAAGCCTTCAACACATGAGCCTTTGGAGGACAATTCATATCTAAACCATAACCTCGGGTATTATGGAAGCACTAGGACTGGTCACAGGCTGCAACCTTTGGGAATGGAGAATCATTTTTCCTTGGAGGTACTTACTTTTAAAGCTCAGTCTTAGGTGTAGGTTTGTAGTTCAGTGGTAGAGCACATGCCTAGCATGCACGAGACCCTGGGTTCAATCCCCAGCAACAACAACAGCAACAAAAAGAAAAAAGCTTCATCTTTTAGCTGTTAATCTATCAATTATCCAAGAGGGCTTTGGAGTTGCACACCCTCCTGAGACAATGGGGAAACATAACGAATGATCTTGATATTCACCCGGTGTCAGTAGCTACAATTACTCCCAGCTTAGTACCTAGAAAACTTAAAAGTATTTCTCTGACCATTGATCAAGAAAATATATACAATGGAGGGACATAGGTAATCATGTCACTGTATTGCTTAAAAGACTCCAGTAACTTCCCATGGTCAAGGATATAAATGGCACTCTGTGACATGACCTGCAGAGTCCAGCCCTAGTCTGGCTGGCCAGCTTCGTCCAGCACTACCCTCTCCTGGTCTCTTAGCTCTTTGCTGTCTTTGCCTTGGGAACTTCTGTATGCTACTGTCTGTCTAGAATGTCCTTCCCTCTCCCTCCCCACACCCCGACTGTCTAGCCACCCTCATCAGAGCTCAGCTGATATATCACTGCCTCAGGGAATCCCCTGGGCCCCACTGAATAAATAGGACCAACCATTCACTCATAATACCCTGAATATCTTTATTATGCTTAACGGGTTTAAAATAAGAACCAGCAGGAGAATTAAGTGCTTGTTAGGGTGCTCCAAACTGGAAGGTAAGCTCAAGAGACGGGGATAATGCCAGCCTTGTTCAGTATGATAGTCCTACACCTAACACTGAGCTGGCTCATAGCTCAGAGGGCATAGACATTTGCAGAGCAAAGAAATGAAATTAAGATAACTCCTGCTTTCTCTTGCTCGCATATTTATTTCCTCCTTCATCACCTCCCTTTACTCCCTTAGAAGGGAAGCAGGAAGCCTGAATCCCAATAGACCTCTGAAAACACATCATCCTATAAGGCCACCCAGACATCATGATATAGACATGTCAGCCATCAAAATATATTTTGTCAAGTTTTCTAGCTGCACTGGGAATAATTCTTCTTGGGCTGCTTGAACCTCAGCGTTGCCATGCCCCTCATCTCATTATCTGCAGTTCATGTAAGAGCCCCCAGAAAATACTGAGTCACACAAGGTCCTGGGGTAGACATTTTTGAGAGAGCTCATTGTAAAGGTTTGTAGTGTGCCTCCCGAGAGCTTACTGTTTCAGAGATAGAAAACTGATTCCAGCAAAAATAACCAGAATATGCTGTTGGCAAGATTAAAACATGGAACTATGAATGCTAAAGTTATTTGTAACATACATAGTTTAATAATGGTCTGAGTTCATTTGCTGTTGCTAAAACTGAATAGACCAGGTAATTTAGGAAGAGTGTGAATTTATTTAGTTCAAAGTTCTAGAGGCTGGGAGATCTCCAACAGCTTGTCACTGGTGTCGGGTGAGGGCCTTCTGGCCACATGGTAACATACTTATAGCAAGTTGCTAACTCATAACTCTCTTCCTCTTCTTAGAAAGCCAGTAATGCCATTGTGAGGGCCCCACAATTATGCTCTCATCTAATCCTAATTTCCACCCAAAGCCTTCCCCCCGCAAATACCATTTATATATCAATTTGATGATTAGATGTCCAGCACATGAACTTGGGGGGAATATATTCAAACCATAGCAATAACTTTTTTTTAAGTGGGAAGGAACATGTATAAGTACATTCAGAAGTGGGAAATGGAGATTAGCCAGTTAAGAAGATTTGACAATAAGAATGTGAACCTTCTAAATTTCTGGGGGAAAACAAATTATCTCACGATGATCTGGATAGCTAGACCTTAGGTGGGATTGATTGCACTCAAGTCTAAAACTTCTAGGCTTTCATGTGGCTAGTTCCATTTAGGACATGAGCTCAGCAACAAATTCAGTAAAGTGTCCCCAATAAATGCTAATAAGTCCCAAGAGGAAACAGGGGCATCCCCATGCATACCAAATGCACTCATTAACATCCCTGCTATTATGAAGAATAGCAAAATGACCTTGCAATCATTAGAAGCTTAAAAATGCTATGACTTAAGTTTAGAGGGACACAAAATACATTGTAAAACCTAATTAGTGTTACCTTTGCTAATTGCTGCCTAGCACTGAGTTGGATAAAATAAATGCATGATGGACATTCCAGGGCATCAGATGTAACCCCATCACTATTTTTAAAGGAAGTGAAATTACAGGAGAACTATTTAGAAAGGTGTTTTTTTGAGTTGCTGTGAGTGGATTGAGGGAAGGGGTGGGGAGCATGAGCAATCGGTGTGTTTATTTGCATGAATCCTAAATGCTGAAATTTTCTCCTGAGAACACTGTTCTTCTCCTATCCCTCTCGAATGTGAATGCAGGGATACCAGACAATGGGGGAAAATTACTATAGCGCCAAAATCCAACCCCAGCATGAAAACAGCTGTGCGGCGGGGGTGGGGGGTGGCAAAATCATATCCCACAGGCAATTAGAATCTCCTGCATTATCCCTGCCTGAATCTGCAGTGAGGATGGCAGACACCAGTCTGTGTCCAGGTGCAGATTTGTCCACTAGATAAACGCTACCTGTGTCTGCCTCTTGTTCACTCTTGAAGGGGGCCCAGTGAGCTGCATGCACTGCCATGGAGACGTGAGAAAAGTTTCCCATCTGGGGATGTCCTGGCCATAGTGCCAGGGCACTGAGCAGTTTCCCTTTATCTACTCCACTACTGCAGATGAAACCAACAACAGAAAAAAGGTTGAACCTCTAACCACACCCAGCAAGCAGCACGTGTGCACACACACACACCCACACCCACACACAGAGCTGGGCCTTACTCCCAGCTGTGCTCAGCATTTGTAATAAGGTTGTAAAAGTGAAATCATTTTCTCAGGCTTGTCATTTTTTTCCCTCCTTAAAGATAAATGATAGCTGATTCTTCCAGGAAAAAAAGCCTGCCACTTATACCTCTCTCAGGGCCCCTCCCGAGTAGATCCTAAATGGTACAGATTAAAATCAAGTCATAAAATACAGCCAGCAGTCATAAAGATTGTTGAGAGCTTTGTTTTCCTGCTGGGTTCTGAGAGGAGTCGGGGTCCTGTGAGGTCCCTTGACTTCGGCCTGGGCAGGAGGTGAGAAGGAAAGCAGAGCAGGCAGATACCGCCCTCAGTCAGGGCAGCCCTTTTTACCAACTTTAAATATTGAAGTTCCATGTAGAATTTCATTTGGGAAAAAGAAGAAGTGTCCTCTGCCAGAAATTGTTGGAAGATCACCAAGAGGCCATGGAGGACAAGGGAGGCCATGTGACTTCCCTCCAGCTGCACTGAGACACTGGGAGAGCCAGGACCAGAATCCAGACCTCTTGCGTGCAGGTGGAACATGGAAGGAAAGGGGATGTAGGCCAGCTGTTCATAAAGTTAGTAATGGCATAGAATTCATGACAATAGATGTTAAACTCTGACCTTATTTTTGCAGAGATTCTTAGGTATTTTTAGATAAGATTCATTTCCTTGGGCTAGATTTCTCAGGGACCATGCTCCTCTGAAATAGTCAAGGATAACAGGGAACTCACTGGGCCAGGGAGCAGGGGGCTTAGATGGTGCTTCTGCTGCTGCTGCCCCAACATGACCTCCAACACTGCCCATGCTCTAGGGATAGCAGATCCTCATAGCCATTCTTCTTTCACTCAGCCAGCCAGGACTGGATTCTAGAAGCTGAATTGTTTCTATGCAATTACTGGAGACTGTTCATTTGTCTTGATTGCTAGACCACTTGGCTTCTCTGGCTTAGGTTTCTGCTACCCAACAGTGGCAGGACTAGCAAGACAGACCTACAGCTAGAACACCCCATGTCACCAGCCAAGCAGTCCCTTGCTTGGGACTCAGAGGCAGTGGGACTCTGTCAAAGATAGCAGCTGCTGTGCAGGACTTTGGTAGGATTGCTAGTTCACTTCCTTCCTCCTCTTCCTTTTCTGCCCTCCTTCCATCTCCTCTGCCCTTTACAATAGCTGAAGATTTTTTTTTAAAAAAGCAAAAAAGGAACTGCTGATAATTAAAGTTAAATCTTTGTTGCCCCAATGTCTGAAACTCTGGGAAGTCATTATCAGAGTCAGACAGTGATATTTTGATATCCCAGAATCTTTTTGATATAAGGAATAAAGTTCTAAGGCATAAGAAGATAGAGAGCCATGCTATTTCCTAATCACCCTTTATAATTTGCAGTGTCTTGGGATGCTTCTCAGATGTTTCCACTGTGGCTTATGTATACTTCAAACCCATGTGCCGCTAAATGCAGAAGCTAGGTACTGAATTAATGAAGGAAACTTCAAAAGCCCACCTCTTTGGCAGGCTGAAGATCTAAGGGCGAACTCAAAGAGGGTGATGGGCCTTTGAAAATTACTAAGCACAAACAATAAACCTCATTAAATAAAGTCAGCAGAGTGGCTCAGAAATGCAGGAAGACAAGGGCGGGACAGAAGGGACCAGAACCAGTCTGAGAATTGACACTTGTCAGGGAGCTCGGGTAAGGGTTGAAGGAGTGGATTGTATTGGGGAGTATTGTGTGACCTGAAGAGAAGCAATGCTAAGAAAAGTAGTCAGGGGGCTGGGGTTGTGGCTTAGCGGTAGAACGCTCGCCTAGCACGTGCGAGGCCCTGGGTTGGATCCTCAGCACCACATATAAATAAATAAATTAAATTAAGATGCTGTGTCAAACTACAACTAAAAAAATAGATATTTCAAAGAAAGAAAGAAAAGTAGTCAGGAGAATGCCAAGGGGCCCAAGGCAGGCTGCTGAGGGATCAGGGCTGTCCTCGTGACATGAGAGGGTGCCCCGGGCTGGCAGGTGTTCCATTTGACCATCAGGATCACTGAGCATCTTTTATTATTTGCAGCTCTGCAGAAGGCAGAGCTTTTGAGCAGAGTGTGTGAAAGAAGAGAGAAACAGAAGCTGCATGGTCATCAAAATAACCCCCTTCCTGGAGCCCTTGGGAAGGATGTGCTGTCATTATGTCCCACAGAGGCTGGCTGGGGACTCCCATGGTACTTTGTCCAGGCACCTCCATCCACAGCCAGGGGGTGTGGGGAAGTTAGGGATTTGGTTGCTTTTAAATGGCAAAGTTCTTGATGAGATCCGGTTGAAAACTGACCAGCAGATTGGAAAATCATTGTGCCAGACCAGCATGTGTAGTTTCCAGAAATAGATTGGGGTTGCTGGATGCCATCTGGAGAGATCACATTAGGCCACAGCAGGACATGGAAAGGAATGCTCAGCTCTGGGGCCCATGTTCTCCTTCTTCTCGAGGATGGCCAGTGAAGCCCTTCCTGTCTCCTGTCTCCGGTCAGGGCTGTCTGTCATAGATATGCAGCACTCTCTAAAGACTGCAGTGACGACACCAGTTCTCTTACCTGTAAAGAGCCACAAGTCAGTCTCCTCTCACTCCTATCCTCACCTCTCTTGACCTCTAATAATCATATCTTCATTTTAATTCAAGGATTTAACTACTGAGATTACACTGACCCTTTCCCCTAAAATGAAAGGATGCAGGATCCTCCACCAGATTGTAACTTTTTGTGTGTGTGATTGTGGCTGGGGGTTTATTTAAACTAATTTTATTATTCATGACACCAACAATTTATGCAGTGAATGCAATTAGAGGCTATGATTGGCTGCCACAGCTAAGGGCTAGAAGTGCCACTTCTTTGGATATGCAGGGAAGAAAGGCGAAGAATATTAGAAAAATAATCAGTTGTAGCAATATTTTTTTATGAAGTGATCCCACAAACCTTCATTTAAAAGAAAAAAAAAGCTAATTTAATTTCCCAAACACCCTGCAAAAGATATCTAATTATCCACTCTTAAATTGCTCTCATAATTTTTGCAAAGTTCTCTATTGTTTATGCCTTTGTGAGTCCTCCTTCTCTACAAGCAGAGAAGCTGCCACCTTGTTATGCAGGTCCCAATAAAACCTCCTTGAGAAGATTCCTCCCCACACTGTGCACGCAGAAACTCTGATGCAACCTGTAATGTGTTTGTCCATTTCATCAGGAAATATTTGATAAACGAGACTTGAGTTGTAATCATTGACAGTCGTGAGCAAAGAAGAGGGAATTGACCTCCCCACCCCCCTTTTCCTTTTTCTTCTTCTTCTTCTTCTTTTTTTTTTTTAAGAGGAGCAGTTTAAAAACAGAATCATTGGACATCAAATCAAAACAAATCACAGCACATCCACACAATGGGCTATTCCTCAGCAACAGTAGAAGGGAATGAGCTACTGATACTGTGCAGTAATGCGATGCCTCTCAAGATAATTATGCTAAGTGAAAGAAGCCAGACAAAAAGGAGTTTATACTTTGTTATTCCACTTATGGAAAGTACTAGAAAAAGCAAATTAATCTCTAGAGACAGAAAGCAAATCTCTGGGTACTGGCTGGGGATTGCAGGGAGAGAAAGTGGGTGAGCCAAAGGGAGGGATCCCAAAGGGTCTTTGGGGGTGATGAACGTGCTCACTGTCATTATAGTCATTGTTTTGAGAGGGTACATATGTCAAAACTTGTCTTATTGCAGACTACTTTAAATATGTGTGGTTCCTTGAGTGCCAGTTATGCTTCAGTAAATTTGTTAAAAGCCAACGCAGGTTTTGGCTCTACCATTTACCTAGATATGGGACCTCAGTCTCTCTGGACTTCAGTTTACTCACCTGTAAAATGGGAATGATGAGGCCTTCTCTGCATACCTGCTATGGTTCAGATATGAACTGTACCCCAAAATCTCATGCATGTGACAATGCAAGAAAGTTTTGAGGAGAAATGATGAGTTTATATGAACCTTAACCTAACCAGTACATTAATCCACTTGAATGGATTAATTGAATAGCAACTGTATGCAGTAGGATATGGCTGGAGGAAGTGGGTCACTGGGGGTATGCCTGCTTGGAGTATATATTTTGTTCTTGTTGAGCACTCTCTCTGCTTCCTGGTGGCCATGTCCTAAATTGCTTTCCTCCACCACACCCTTCTTCCATGATGTTCTGCCTCACTTTGGGCCCAGAGCAGGAGAATCAGCTGTCAATGGACAGAGACCTCTGAAACCATGAGCCAATTAAATCTTTTTTCTCCTCTGAATTGTTTTTGTCAGGTCTCTTGGACACATGGGTGTGAAGGCTGACTACACAGGGCATGTGTTATAAACATAAGCACACACAAAAATGTCCAACAATATAGGACCCTACATACACTGATAAATTCACCAGTGAACTTCATTCACTCGAACCACTGTGTATGTGAAAGGAATGGGTGCTGTTTTTCAAGAGCCTAGTCTGTTGCCTGGGAAGCCAGTGCTCAATGCTGTGCACTTGAGCTGAGGAAGGTCACTTTGTGAGCCTCAGTAGGTACCCCCACAGTCTCATTTTCATCTATTTATTGAACTTCTGATTGGGAACCACAGAATTCTGAAATGGCATTTCTTGGGGTGGGAGTCCCTGGAGAAAGCCTCAACCTCACATCCTGTCTTCGGGTAAACAAGACAGATGGAGTCTAGCACCTGACTCAGGCCTCTGGCCTAGCCTCTGGAAAGAATGGTTAGTGAAGGAGAGAAGAGGGCACAGTGATCAAGACAGAAGTCCCAGAGCTCTGAGTGAGCTCTCCTGCACTCTTCCCTATCGCAGAAGGATCTGGAAAGGGCCCTCGAAATTCACAGCACAGCAGAGTGGGATTGAGGTGGAAGAGCCCAAAGGAGCTCCCTCACTTCAAAGACTCTCTCAGGCCCTGAGAGCTCCGCATTGTGAACCGTCTGATGTCAGTCTTTGTGGCTGCTGACTAGCCTCCGGAACTCTTCAGAACTTTTCCCCTAGCTTCCTGACAATCAGTTCAGGCCACTTAATGACACACCTGCCTCACTCCAGAATGCACTGTGTGTTTGTTTTTATCTCCCTTTGTAGATTCCAAGTAGTTTCACCTAGTTCTTACCTGTAATTCTCACCTGGGTACTGGGCAATGTATGGATCTGTCCTCCTATGATTCTTATTTATGATGAAAGGAATCAATATCCACATCAAATCAAGATTTTCCCAGCATCTCCTGAACAAAGTGTCAAGGTAGAGACCAAGCCTCTTTGTTCTAACCATTGTTTCTGTCCTACTCTTCCCCCTGAACCACACTCTCTCATTCTATCCCCAGGGAAAGGGTGACCTCACCTCTGGTTGATTGATGGGAGTATGGCTTACAGAAAGTCACACTGTGGTCGAGTAGAGATTAGATCTTGCAAATGCAGCCTTCTTCTTACTGTACGGATTTCATCCTCTGTGTTTGGTTGATTTCAAACATAATTTCAGCCACATGTGCCATTCTGTTGTTTTGACATTCCTGGGCATGGTAGGGGACCCCTAGAGGAGTGGGGAGAAGGAGTTGAGAAGTGAAAACTCACTTAGTGAGTGAGCACAGGTCCCTCCCCGCAGTGATGGATGGGTAACAGAATTGCGTGCCTCACTGCTTAAGGAGAAAAGCGCAGTGACCCATCTGACTTCCTGAATTTGGAAAAAGAAGAGCATGGAAGCTATACCTGGGCAGAAAGGAGAATCCTCCTTGAAAAGCGCACTGACCGTGACCATAATCAGTAATGCTCCTTGCTCCCTAGTCTCCAGTCCCGAAAGCATCTCCCTACCGTTCCACTGACAAGACACGCTTGTCTTTTAGTCTTAAAGTGATGAATGCATGCTTGCTGTAATCCTCTTGAGCTACATTCAGAATGGAACCTGGGCAGTTATCAGGAGTTTTGGACATTCAGGCTCAGACCTTGCAGATGACATGATACCTCAATTATTCAGGAGCTATCATTTCCAAATTGCCTCCTATAATTCTGTGTGCAGTTCCCCTTGCATGGATCCCTACATGCACCCTCCATCTGGAAGGGCAGTCAAGGTGAAGCAGTGAGGGACAGGGAAACCAATCCCTAACTCATGTCTTAACCTTAGATTTTAACTTCCCTCAGTCCACTCAGAACCATTGTCCTTTTTTTTTCTTGAACATTGACGCTTTCTTTTTTCCCCTAAGGAGACATTTCTAAAAGTGATCACCACTGGAATGTGAATTTTTCTGTCAAGGATGGGACAGAATAAGGAATGTGGCCATTATTCTCTGCCCATAAAAGAGGCCTCCCTCCAGCTGTTATTCAAAAGATAATCTAACCCCTCCTGGCACTGGGTCACCCTGCACACTGGCACTCCCTAGTCAAGGACCAGCCTGATGCTTAGGCCATGGGACCAAGCTGTCGACTGATTGTAGAGCTTGGCTCTCCAGCCCAACTCTTCAATAATGCTCTAATTAACTACTGCAAACTTCAGAGGACTCAGCTAAATATAATTGAGAGATCAACAGAGGCTGCATGGAGTTAGATATGCATACTAATTACTGAATTATCCAACACCTGTTTTGGAATGTAGCGCTGAAACATGGCTGTACTTTCCGGCAGAAGACCTTCAGTTTAAGAAAAAAGTTTCTGTCTTTAGTGAACAAAATGAAGCCCACTTCTTATCTGATGAGCTGTCCTCTTTTATTGGCACTGGTAGGAGATAGAGTGGGGGCGAGGCAGGACAGACGAAGCCAGTAAATGAAATATCCATGCACTTAGATCTGGGGTGAGATTCTGAAGAGGCAATATCAGGCTGCTGGAAATAGACATTAATGAGTACATTATCATCATGGAGGGAGCAGGGCTCAGAATTTATACATTTAGGGCTCTATCTGGACATGGCCACGTTTCTACATTGTTTGCATCTGGCTCCCTCCCTCGGAACTGGATTGGCACCACCATCTAAAAGCTATCAATGGGGCAAAACCACTTAGCCATCATCACTAAAAGTAGCATGAGAGTGATGCAGGCGGGAGCATCAAAGGACAGCAAAAAGGAAAAGAGTGTAACAGAGTCAGGATGTTGAGCCAGAAAAGGGCAGGAGAGCAAGAGAGCACAAAATTAAAGTGGGAAACAGATTGGACATGGAAAGTAAAGAAACTTCCTTAGTCTCATTACTCATTTATACTAATGTGGTTCAATAACCCATAATCAGTGGGTTCAGACCATGGTAAAATCATGCCTACCTGTGAGCCTCACAATTTTTTAGATGAAGCATTTGTCACCAGATAGAAAAAAATGAGACCTTTTTTCAAAGTGCCCTAGAATTAGACAGCACAATGGGGCATGCCTGAGGCATACAACCCGAGATAGCTTGGCAGCCAGCTGGCTGCCCTAAGCTCTGTCCTCCAGCTAACTAATGCCGCATTATAAGAAACAAAGAGACTCCGTCACCCTGAAAGAATTACCTGCGAGGAAATAATAAGGCAGATTCAGTATTGCTGGCTTTTTCTCAGTTGGAAAAAGGATTTTGATGATAATAATGAAAATGAGGTTGGCAATAATGGTGGTCGTGATTAATATGATCATTGATAATCACAAACAATGAAAACAAAACTTAAGTAGATCTGAGATGTGCTGAGATTCCAGGATGTTCTCTACTTAAGCTGTCTTTCCTAGAAATTCAACACATTTGTCAATGAATTTGACAGGAAAATTTCTCAGCATATCCATGTCAAGAAGACATTTTATGATTTCCTGTTGCCACTCTCCTCTCTCTGGGAAGTCTGTACTGATCATGAACCCCACATGTACACTGTAGATATCCCCATACTGAGATTCCTTTTCTTGCCCGCCCCCCCTGGTATTCTTACTTTGGGATCCAGTTTATACCTGAAAGTGAATCTTTTCAGATTTGACATGCTTCTGCATTTGGAATCTCTCTCATTGTTGAAATGTCAAAATGAAAAAGTGAAAAGGTAGTCCAAGAATGAAGAATATAGAACCCACAGCCCTTCCTTGGCATCAGATTCCTCTCCCATGTACAAGGCCTCACCATTCTTTGAAATAACCCTATTTGCTGTCACTGTCAAATCCAAATCTCTGGGCATTTTGTATAAACATCAAATTTGTGGAACTTCACAATTGTTTTGCATGTGCAGACAATACAGGAACATCTTCACATGTTGCCCTTTCACCCGACATTGTAGTCACCATGTGTTGGGTTAAATTCTGAACTCCAAATGATGTGCAACTTTGTGAACACTGTCATGTGTTAACTGTCTAATTTGAAGATGCCCCACTGCCAAGCAACCTTCTGAGTATTGCTCAAATACCTGGCCACCACCCCTTCTCTGTGCTGAAATAGGACTGCTGTGCCTTTCCAGAGACCTTGACCTTTTCCACTTCATTAGCCTCTCTTGAGAGGTGACATCATTACCTTCAAGCTCTCCTCCCACAGTCTTGGCAAAGCTCCTTGTCTCATTTCTCGAGGAAGATGCCTCAGAACCTGTCATCCAGTGGGTCGATTGATGAGTTTCCTGGGTCATGGTCCTGGCTTGCTTTCACATTTTCTATTTAACCCCCTGGGGGCTGTTTCTTCTTTGACTTCAGAGATACAAGTCTTGCATCATTGTTGAGCATGTATCTGTTATGAACCTGCCCAGCCATTCTCAGAACTATCCAAGTGTTTTTCCTGGCAATCAGCCTTTCTCAATTTGAAGTTTTCCCTGTGCTTAGACTTAGGGCCCAAATTATAACCTTATAACTTATTCACACCCATGTATTGGGAGATACCTGCAGGTTGGGTCATCTTTATGTCAAGATAAACAAAGATATGTTGAATAACAGAGCTTCAGGGCTCATTGATTGATATGCACTAGAACAACATGTCTTCCATGACCGTCCTAGAGCTACTTCCAACAGAATCATCTGGAGGGTTGTTTAAAATGCAGATTCCTTGACAATACTAAATAGATTCTCTAGGGTGGAGCTAAAGATTTCTAAGAAGTTCCACAAGTGAATTCTATACATGCTGAGAACTATGGTACTAGAATTTTTTTCTGATAAATTTAAGTATTTTTATTAATCCATAAAAGCTGAACACTTCACATTCTTAAAGTGGAAAAGTATCGCAAGGATCATTGAGGTCATTTATGCATCTCCCCAGGTGATACTGCCATCTTCTTCTTTAATTCCTACAGTGATAGGGCATGCCTGACTTCAAGAGACTTCCATTACTGAATTGCTCCAATGATCAGACAGTTTTTTGTGTTTATTCAAAACCTGTGGCTTCACTCCTCCCTTCTAATTTTGACTCTTTTTTTTTCCTTGAGATATCATACATTTGAATCAGATGGGATATAATTTCTCATTTTTCTGAGTGTACAGGTTGCAGAAGCACATTGGCCATGCAGTCACATAGGTACACATAGTAATAATAATGTCTGTTTCATTCTACTATCCTCCCATCCCCTCCCCTCCCCTCCCATCACTTCTCTCTACCTAATCTAAGGTAACACTATTCTTTTTTTTCTCACATCTTCATACATGTATTTTGTATAACAATGAGGGTCTCCTTCCACCATCCATGCAATTCCCCTTCTCCCTCCCTTTCTCTCCCACCCCTCTTCCCTATCTTCTTCTCATGCTCTTCCTCCCTACCCCATTTTGAGTCACCCCCCTTATATCAGAGAAGACATCGGCATTTTTTTGGGGGGGGATTGGCTAACTTCACTTAGCACAATCTGCTCTAATGCCATCCATTTCCCTGCAAATGCCATGAACTTGTTATTTTTTAATGCTGAATAATATTCCATTGTATATAAATGCCACATTTTTTAATCCATTCATCCATTGAAGGGCATCTAGGTTGGCTCCACAGTCTAACTATTGTGAATTGTGCTACTATAAACATTGATGTGGCTGTGTCCCTGTAGTATGCTGTTTTTAGGTCCTTTAGGTATAGTCCGAGAAGAGGAATAGCTGAGTCAAATGGTGGTTCCATTCCTAGCTTTCCAAGAAATCTCCATACTGCTTTCCACCAATTTGCAGTCCCACCAGCAATGTATAAGTGTACCCTTTTCCCCACATCCTTGCCAGCACTTGTTGTTGTTTGACTTCATAATGGCTGCCATTCTTAGTGGAGTGAGATGGTATCTTAGAGTAGTTTTAATTTGCATTTCTCTGATTGCTAGAGATGATGAACATTTTTTTTGTGTATTTGTTAATTGATTGTATATCATCTTCTGAGAAGTTTCTGGTGTTTAGCTTTTTTTTTTTTTTGGTGTTTAGCTTTTTGAGTTCTTTGTATACCCTAGAGATTAGAGCTATATCTGATTTGTGAGGGGTAAAAATTTGTCCCCAAGATGTAGTCTCCTTATTCACCTCACATATTATTTCTCTTGCTGAGAAAAAATTTTTTTAGTTTGAATTCAACCCATTTGTTGATTCTTGGTTTTCATTCTTATGCTATAGGTGTCTTATTAAGGAAGTTGGAGCTTAACCCCATGTGATAGGGATTAGGGCCAACTTTTTCTTCTATTAGATGCAGAGTCTCTAGTTTGACAGCATACTTTCTAATATCGTATCTTTAATTCAAATCCACAAGCATTTTTGATCACCTTCATGAACTCATCATCTAACCTGTTAGACCCATGAATTTCAAACTAAAGCTTTGGGCCTATGCTTGTCCATGAGATTCTCATGTTATAATATGGAGAACAGAAAAGTATATGTGTAAGGAGGCAGATGCTAAAAGTAGAAGTATTATAGAAGTGCTAAGGAGAATGAGTAAGTTCTTTCTGGAACATGCTCCAGAAAAAGTAAACTTTCCAAAAATTGTAAAGTGTCAGGTTTTTTTTTTCCAGGAGAACTATTAGAGGACATTCCAGGAGAACTATTAGAGGACATTCCAGAAGTATGGCATGAGGGGAGCCATTGAAATTATCACAATGACCAAGTCCTACATGTGTGTAGAACATAAGTAGATAGAGGTGCAGGACAGGGAGTTGGCAGGAAGTTAGATGAGAAGATGAGACTTAGGGATCAGGCTGGAAATGGCTGTACACGCTGTGCTATTGGGAGAGCTCTCTCTTACCAGCTCTGATGACTGCTCTGCATTCCCAAGTTGTCTCACTTTCCCCTTAACTGCATCTCATTATCATAGAGGACTCTGCGTTCATTCCAGAGTGCCTAGTCACTGTGATCCTTTCCATGACCCTATGGACCTCTGCTTGGAATGTCCTCTACTCATTTCTCCACCTGGAAATGGACTCTCAAAAGCATGTGATGGTTTTCCCATCTCTTGCTCAATTTGTAAGGAATTAGGCCCCAGCTTCTCCCTTTGCAGAGAAGGACAAAGTAAATGAAAACAGCAAATCCTACCCACTGTCACTTAAATAAGAGGAAGAATATTAATTTTTACTGCAATGATATTGGCTACAACAGGAGAACCATGCAGATCCATTGAACTCAGGGTACTATCAGATGGGTTCAGCAGACAGATCTTCAGGGTCGATTGCCTCTACTCCACAGTCATTCACAGTCCAATAGGTTGTATTCAAGAAGGTCAGAGTCTCTGAATTCTGGTCTCTATACCAGAAACTTTAAAGTTTCCTGTGTTTGAGTGAATTTTTACAGTTTCTACAGAACTGAGAGTCTGCCATTCAACATGCACTCATTCATCAGTCTGAGGGTGGGATAGAAAGAATTCCTCCACTCATTGCTGTCACCCAAAAAAGATGAAATCAGCTCTTCACTAAGGTTCAGGCAGCCAGGAATGTCAAAGACTATTGCCTTTGCAAAATTGGCTGGCATCACCAGAAAGCATGAAAAATAATGGAAATAAAATTGCTGAAGAGCAGTGGACTTGGGGGCCTGATGTTTCCCTACCCTCTGCTTTTCACTAGGATTCTTTCCCACTCTCTTTGTACCAAGAACAAGGGCATTTCCCCTGGCTATGAATGCCTTATGGAAAGGGCAGGATGGACAAGCCATCCCAGCATCTGGTAACAACAAAGTACAAATATGTAGGTATGATTTGCATTGTGAGTTCAGTTAACCAAGTAAGTGAATTAGAGAAAGTGGAGATTCGGCAATGGACTTAATCCTGTCCAGCAGCCCCATTTACACAAACAAGGTGAAATTCCAAAATGGACCACATATTAAAAAGAAGGTCTGTAATTACAATCTAAAGGAGATGGTGATATATACACCTGCTCACACTTTAACAAGCGGTTGGCAATTTTTAGACGCATCTGAAAGGATCCTTCAGTGAAAAGTGTCCTCAGAGAAAGTCAAGAAGGCATGAGTCAGGGCAAACACAGAGTTTCCAGAACCAAAGTGTTTATTTCCTTGATGGTCCACAATACAAGGAAATGATCATGGAAAATGACATTATCAGGGCCCCATTTAGGACATGACCTACCCTCACATTCCAGGAAGGCTGCAGGGCCTTGTATTCTCCAAGCACTGACTTATTAATCCTGATTCTCTTGTGGATGGGCACTTGTTCTTCAAAACCAGGTACCTGGGGGTTTGGGGTTTTTTGTTTGTTTGTTTTTTAAATTGCAGGAAGAGCTTTAAGCAAAACCCACTCAGCCAATTGTTGCAATAATCCTAGCCTAGAACTTATTATGTGCAGGACCACAGTAAGGAAAGCATAGCATGGTTTTCTTCTAACCGATCGAACCAAGTCAGCTGGCTGAGAAGCCTGATCTGAATCGAATATTCATAATGCCAGCCCATTTGTGGGCTCTGCAGCTTTCCTCAAGGGCACTGTTCCTAAGGAGTGTGGATAAAGGAAGCAGGATGGGGTCGGCTGGCCCCCAAGAGAGAGGCCCCATTAGCAGAACACAAAGTGGGGAGGGGAACCACACATAAAGTTCAGCCCATTTATGCCACTTGGTTCCATTCCAGCTAATAAAAGATATACTCCTCCTATTAGGTACATTACAGTGACACTGTGATTGGTGGAGGGGAGCGGAGGACTTGTCAGCTGAGTGAGTATTGGCTGTCACTCCTGTTCTCAAGCTGCCTGCTTATTTGCGATTTTATTTTCAGATGTGATTGACAGCTGGATGGCTCTGACATTCTCGGTGCAAACATACAGCCTGTTATTATGCTTGCATTAACATTTTGATAAACACACGGTGCAGCATTGGAAAAGTAATTACATGTCATCACTTCAGTGCTTCATCAAAGAAAAGTTTACTGTGTAATTGCTCTGTGATTTACCTAGGTAGAATGTGTTACACTCCACAAAGGCTCTCTCTATTTAATAGTTTACATTTACTCTTTAAAATACACAATATCCCTTCCCAGGGGCTTCTTTGGTCTAAAATAAACTTGGCAATATAATTTAGCTTTCCATAAATATACTTAGATATTACGGTGGAGTACTTTTTGCATAATAGTTATTTAATGCTAAGCGTAAATATGCAGTGCATTATATTGGCTGAGCTATCAAAAAAAAAAAAAGTAAAGAACTTTTTGACGACAAAGAAAAATAGGATATTGTTACCTTGGTTTCCGCATTAAGAAAAGGGCCTTTTGCTCTTATATTTATATCCATGCTTTTCACAATGACATCTAATTTTACAATAAAGTGACTTGAGCTGAATCGCCTAGCAGTAGAATCTAAAATATTGGTTCTTGTTAGCGTTTAAAGAGCTCTTCTGATGTGGCACTGAAAGAGGTTTCTGGAGAAAAGCACAAATGATTGCAGGGTACTTGGGAATCAGAGACGAAGGGATGATTTGACTGATGTTCACTCGGTGGGATCCGTCTGAACAGTTGGATATCTAGGAAGTAAAAGGTGGGGGGAAGGGGGCGAAGCCTGCAGTCGCTGAAGAGCCCCCAGCAGAATCTCACACGAGAAACTGCTTTTATGACTGATATTGGGTGGGCACTTTCAATTGCCATGTGCTTTGCGATTCTTAATGAGCAAACCCTTACAGCAGCAGCCAAGACAGTAGACAAAGTCTTCCCAGGATACTTAGTGATGATTTGCATATCTGGATTAGCTTCCATCCAAGAAAGGAGAGACACAAGAGAAGAGATAGAGAGGAATAAGGTGGCCAGATTGTTTTCACAATGTAGCTCAAACCTTTAGCTGTTCTAACTCAAGGAATGTCCATAAATACAACATTTCTCAACAATTACCATAGCTTCCTCCTTGAATGATACAGATTGTGGAGCAGGAGGATGGGAGGAGCAATGTCCATTACAGAGTGTGCCAGCTACTCAGTAAGGGGGCGTAGTGGTATAAGATTTTGGAAATAGAAGCTCTGGGTCAGGAGATCTGTTGTGTCCTTGAGATGTCCTTTACCATTCCTCTAAGTGATCACTTTGCCAAAGGGCTTGTCTCCCGATGACTCAGTCGGTACTGCACAAAGGTTAAATGACTGACCCACAGAAGTGGAGGTGAAATCCAAAGCCTTCTGATTCTTCCGTTCCTATAAAGAATGGAAATGGCTGCATGGAAAATGTCTTGACTGTGGGAGGATGAACGAATGGAGGAGACTGTAGCCAGATCCTGAAAATGAAGGTGAGAAACTCACACACAGGCAAAGATAAAGAGGAGGAGTGAAAGGACCCATGGGGGCAAGGACCATGGTCTTCATCAGAAAGGCTTATGGTCATCTCAATAGCACCATATCTATTCAGCTAAGCCTAGAGAGTAATAGTAACCCCATCAGCTGCTTCTCCGGTGCAGCTGGCAGCCACAAAAAAGAAATGGTTAAAAACGTGCGTTTCCAGATGTGTGCAACAGTTCAATAATTCCACGTTAGTGTATATTAATCCTCTCTGGAAATTGGCATTAACTCAGCTTTAGCACTAGTCTAAATAAACACATCAGCTCTGAGAACAGGAGCTTCTTTGCATAACAGCTGCATATAGCATCTGCATCCTGGTTGTAGGTTCCCTGTACATTACCTCTGGAATGCGCTCCGGTTTCCCTCTTTATGTGTGGCTGGACTCAGAATATTTCCTCCTTTTGCTGTCAGTGATGAGAAGAAAGATGCCATTGTAATTGCCAGTTGGCCTGCAGAGTAATGCCCTGTAATTGACAAAGATTGCTTAGCTGCAAGGAAGAAAGATACACTGATTAGGAGAGATCGTCTTTAATATTGCATTTAACCTGTACTCTTTTTTCCCCTTTTCTTTTCACCTGAGCCCTGCAAGGGATGGCTCACATCCTTTGCCATGCCATTTCTCTTGGAGAGAGAAAAAAAGAAGGGCAGCAAGGTCCACATGGGGACACTTGGTTCCTCCACAGTAATTCTACTGAGTTGGGAGATTTAAAAGCTTCAATATGAATATATGCTGAACTATCCAAAAACAGAATTTGTTCCCCATCACATTTAATGTACCCTTTGACCTGCCAGTCTCAGAGGTGGCCAAGGCTGATACCATTTTTCATCTGTGCTTCAAGTTACTAGGTCGGAGCTTTAGATCTTCATTATTCTTGTTCTTTGCCCCCCTCTTTGCTCCCAAATTCAGGGTTATGTTGCATTTTTTTCCTTGTGAATCACATTGACTCTTTTGTTAAGAGAGATCTAAAAAAGTGCACTGTTAGAAAAAAAATATATGGGTTAAAATGCATTTTTCATGTCCTTTCATGCTCTATTGATTTTTTTTTCCTCTCGTTTTTCTTATAAAAGAAGTTTTAATGCAGTTTTGGGGAAAAAATAGTCAGCAGTTGTTCCCTCCCCCAGGAATAAAAAGGCCAGACATCTTGCTTATAAATGCAATGTTGTCTAAGTATCTATCTACATATCTATTTAATATATCTATATATAATGGGGGTAAGAGGTGACAAAACCCCATTAGTCACCTGTGTCCCAACTCTTCTCACTACCTATTATTTTAATAGCCATAGGGGACTTTTAACTGTCCTCAGTTCCTGTAGGACATTCAAACTTTAAACATTTTAAAGTTTAAATGTCCTACAGGAAATTTTTGATGTTACCTATGAGATATTCAATCTGAAGATAAACAACCATACCTAAAAACTTAACACTGTCTAGAGAAGATGTATTTGTTTGTCTATGTCCCTTCCACCTATCTACTTGTTTGTTTCTATGAATGAAATGTTGTATGGTGGAATGGAAAAGCACTGTGTCAGAAGTCGGGGTACCCAGGTTTTAATTTCAGCTTTAAGACCTTAGAAAAGTCACTTCTAACTCTTTGAGTTTAAGTCCCTTCATCTGTGAAATGAGAAGCTTGGATGATATTCTAAGGATAAATCCAACTGGTGCTTTGCACAGTTTTGTACCTCTTATATCAATGTGATATTTTCCTATGCATAAAAAAAATGTGAATGATAGACTCAATATCTCTATATGTTGCTTCTTCTGTGTTACATTGTTTCAGTCACTCCTGTGTTTTTCTGCACCATCCTGTACTCAGAGATATTTTAGTAACAATTCAAACAAGTTCTCTCCCTGTTCAAAGTTTTACTTGCACCGCGGACAACTATGCTACCCCATGATAAATGGGGATCATTCTCTAAACAGCCCAAGTCAAAAATGCTTACATCTAAATCAATTGAGGCTGAAACCATTTTATCTCTAAATATAACTTACTTGATTTTAGGGAGTAGACCCTGTGTGCATATGGGTATGTCTGGGATATTGGGGAGGGCAGTGAATGAAGGAGAGACAGATATGATCATTCACTGCATAATAATGTTTTGGTCAGTTGCATATACCACAGTGGTCCCATAAGAGTTTGATACCTAGTGACATCATAGTTATCTTAGATTGATATCTAGTGACATCATAGCCATCTTGTACACTCTATGATGTTTGTGCAGCAACAAAACCACCTACTAACACATTTCTCAGACTGTGTCTCCATCATTAGGAGGCACCCGACTGTACTTTCCAATGCAGGATCACAAACATTGGCTATGGACTGGGTTTCAGAAATCAGATGATCTTCCCTGGCCTCTTTACTGATGAAACCCAGTCCATTCACACTCATATTTGACTTGAACATGTAGAAGCCACAGGGAGATAAATACATGTACAGATGCAAACCAATTTTCCTGCTTGAACCTATTTCCAGGAATCATTCAGCTCTTTGCTGACTGTTCAGGAAAAGGACTTTTCTCACCAGTGGATCCATGCCTTTTGCTGTCAGCTAAGAAGCATGACGGGGCTCCTGCTCAATCAATGATCTCTTAGAGCTGGACATCTGCTCCACTTCCCTTCTTCCCATTCAGAACATCTGCCAGGCCTCCTAGCTGCCCGGCAAGGAGTCCCCAGCCCTGCCTTGGCTGAGTGCCACAACTAACTTCTGTGCTTATGCAAACCCAAGGAAATTTCCCACTACTTCCTTTTTCTCTTTTTTCTTTTGGTTGGTCCCTGTTAATAAAACTCTTTTTTCAGTTATCTGTTGTTGTTTTTTTTTAACTTACCTATCAAATGGGTTTATTTGGGCCAGGCGGTTCTGAAAGGTAGAGAGAAAAACAAATGCACTTTGAAGTGGTTACTTTCATCCTGAGGTCACCTCTCTTGCCCCCTTTGTGCCCCTTCTGTCACCAAAGTCAGGCAATGCCCTGCTGTGCTCACTATCTCCAGGGAATCCAGGATTTAATTTGTTTCCTCTCTAAGTCTTTGCCTGTTTCTAACATCTTAGGATACAGGGACAAGTTCTCCCATGGGATGGCATGTTTTCTCTCAAAGTATTCATTTCATTAATGATCACACTGTGTTGTTATGTTTTCCCACTACTGTTCTATAGATCATCTTTATTATGTAGATACAAACTCTTTGATATTGTAATTGTGAAGTACATATTATGAAGACAAATGCATTGGGCATAATGAGAATGGATTGCCAATAAAAGTTGGAAAAACAATGGACCATTTTTAAAAGCGAACCCTTATCCAGAGCACTGTCACTTTGAATGCTCTGTAGAAAGGCCCTTGGATGGAAGTAGCTTATTTTTAGTCTAATGTTGATAAAGGTTTGACTTTGGTAGCATCTTAATTATCTGATAAAAGCCAGAGTCTTCTGCCTTGCTCACCTCTAATGTCGAATGCCTTCTGCTGGCATTAAAATTATTGCTATGACTCCAGAGAGAGAAACGAGAGATAGCAGCATTGTATTTCCGAGATGTGAATTAGAGTTTAAAGAGTCACTTGGTTTTGTTTAAACAAATTACAAAAATAATGGGTTGCCCTTAAAAGGTCTGTTTCATATATTGTTATCCTTCACTTGTGACACTCATGACAGTGCCTTTCCCCATATTATATCTTCCATTAGTTGCTAGAGGAGAAGAGGGATTCCTGAGGGTCCCATTGGTGCCTTTCCATTTTGTCCTTGAATGACGAACAGAGAAAGGATGAGGAAAAAATTGGTCCAATGGACCTGTACTCTGGACTCAGGTGATAATAGAGGGTGTGCTGAAGAATATACTGGCTGATTGATTGATCAGTCAATTGGTTGACATAAAACCATTATCTCTGAATTCATATGGGGTTGGGGAATATGAAAAAGGACCAGAAATTGAGATGTTGGTCCCCTAGAGGGCAGTGGGTATTCCTAAACACCGGGAGGAAATGAAAAGAGCAGATGCAGACCTTCTGCCTGTGTAGGGGCAGGAGACACAGGGAAGCATGACACAGACTCTGTGGTTGACTGGGCCACCTTGCTCAGGTCACTTCACCTCACTGGGCTTCTGTGTCGTGCTATAAGATGAGGAGGCTGGGCCAAGTGACCTCTGGGGTAGCTTTGTTTTTAAACATTTCCTGAGCCTCTGGAGGCGGGAAACTCCACAGCTATGATTCCAAGCACAGCCAACTGCGACTCTTGATTCTGCAAACCTCTCTTCTCACAAAGAAAATGTGCCAGTTTAAGTATTTGAGGAAACATTTTGTAGGGCTGACCCAGTTCCCACATTAAGAAAATAATGCCCAAGCCCATATGGCTAATTCCTTCCCAAACTGTTTGTTTGCCATCATGCAGACCTACCCTGAAAATAAAGCGTCTAGTCAAGATTCAGAATCCAAATGGAGCAGAATGCAAATGAGTGAGATAATAGTGAAAAGCACATTTACTTTGAAAATTCTTCCGGGTGCCGTCACCAGCCACAGAGATGCCAATAGTGTTGAGTTTAAAGCTATGCTGCTTTGTGATTCTAGCTTGCAATGTTTGCCATGAATAAGGTGTACCTTTTGTCATGAGCCTTTCCTGCTCCATGTTTGCACTCTTTTGCTTTGGCAGCACCTATCCTTGCCACAAGCATGGTCCCAGAGCGGAAGTACCAGGATTTTCTAATGCATCCCAGGGGAAAGAACATTTGACCTCACTCTATACCATGACCTCTAAAACATGACCAAAAACAAGGTCAGGAGAGTTCAGGAAGCCAGATTGCTACTTTATCTTAATATCCTATCTGAAATTGATGCCATTTGGGAAAAAGAAAATGAGACAAAATGAAAGATTGACAGATGCTATCAAGACAGAGGGTTTAATGAGTGATGGTTGGGGATAGTTACTCTTGTTCACTTTGGTATATCAGATCTACACCAGAAGGGAAGATGTGGGCATTATTGAGTTAATCTTGATAGTGAAAGCCACCAGGTCGGAGAAATAGGATTCCTAGGGAAATTTGTTTTGTTTTTAATCTGAGGAGGTGAAGATGGGAAGTGACCTGGAGGTTCCCATCTGTAACCTTGCTGATTGGATTAATATTATGATTTTATACCATGTTGTCTTTTATACTAGGTTGATGGCTAGTGCTTCTTTGCTTGAAAAAGCTTCCCTATCCCAGCACCCAGGTAGCTAAGTAAGGGATGTCATATTTGAGCATATGGATGAAGTGGACAGATGCTTTGATTCTTGCTCATCTGGAGGCAGCTGGTCTTTGAGTGTGTGGCGGAGGAGTCCCAGAGGCCTTTGTGCTGGGGTGTGACTCACTCACCCCTCTTGTGTAGCTTTTAGTAGGTTGAAAAATAATTTTCCACGAGCTGGTAATTATATAAAAATTGCTTTTGCTTTAAACAAGAATTATGTTTGAACCTTTTGAGCAAAAAGAAAAATGTACAGAGGGAATCATTAATTTTGAATAAAAACAGGTACTTTCCTGTAGCCAACGAGGGAGGGAAATGTGAAATTGGTGTTTTCTATAAACAGCACAGCATCGCTCCCTAATCTGTTTGCTTGATCTATTATCCATCACCTGCAAAGTTGAATGTCTTGTTTGGCCTGAATCTGACTTTTATTCTTTTCCCTCTACCTATTTTTTAAGGACTGTGTTATATGCATACCTCAGCCTTCATTTGCATCACATTAAAGTAAAACATTTTAAATTTCTTCACAGCAGAAGTAAATCTGACAGACTTTATGAAGCTATTATACCTGCAGGTATTTTATACTTTTAAAATACATTCTTGTCAAGCTATCTTAATTATATTATTATATGTACTTTTGAACTTGTATCCGCTATTCTATGATATATTACACTTTTGACAGAGACGTCCTAAAAAGCTACAATTTATACCCAAGTTAGTTGGCTGAACAAAGATGTATCTGTTATAGATTCTGGGGGGATCTGTTAATTTACACACTGGAATGCATAACCACTGTTGGAGCAGGCTGCTTTAATTTTCCATCCGGGTGATTATGAAAAGAGGATATGACCTCTGGGCTCCTTAAGAACTTGATACCAGCCAATGAATGCTGGCCCTCACTTGGACATGGGAGGCCTCCATGGAGTCAGGCTAACTTTCGAACAACTTCAGTTGTTGTTCAGGTATTATTCAGCACACCAAGAAAATGGAGAGCAGGCCAGTATCAAATTGACTTCCTCATTCATATTCAGCACCATTCAGGCAGTGCTGAGCAAGAAAGTGCCCACATACGGAGAGATGGAAACCAGGCGTGGCCAGGGCGGGATGGAAGAGGAGGGAGACTGAGAAAGAATCCTGAGCACTAAACAACTTTTCTTAAGGTATCAAGATCTCAGAGGGGGTTGATGTTGCTCCTCTCTGCATAAAAATGCAAAGTGAGGGAACTATGGTCTGGGCAGCCCAATCAAATGGGAGAATTCCCTGAATGACTCCAGAGCTTGCTCCCTGATGGCAAGGTGTTCAAGTGGTGCCAGCTCCATGGAGGTGGGCCCTGGAGGGTTCTTTGTCCACTGATGTCTCCAGTGTCCATGCCCTGGATGAGACCTGTGCAATGAAGGCAGAGCTAGTTTCTGTTCTAGGCACCCAGGGCTCTCTGTGCTGGGCGCATTTATAAATGATGTGACAAGGGGATTGCCTGATTTGTTCTTTCTTCCTTCCTAATATATGGCCTGAACCCAGGAATAGAGCAGACAGAAGATGATCTGCATGCTCTGAGTGGCAACACACAACTATTTGTGGAATAGGTTATTCCTGAAGGGTCCATTTGGACTGTTTTAGGCATCACCTGCTTCTTTTATCAAAGAGGTTCCATGCATGTTCTTGATGTTTGCTTCTTGCTCCAGAACCCACTCCAGGCCAGTTTTCAGGGCCTGGGCAGCTCTGCTCATCTGGAAAAATAGGCTTCATACAGCTTAAGGTCAAGTGGAACAGTTTTGGTCTGAGATATGGTGGTGGGGGGATTAATCCCCATTGCCTAAGCAGAGAACATACATCCCAGTTCCCACCACACACATGGTATGGCCTATGCCCTACCATGCCTGCAAGCCCCTTTATTCCCTACAGAGCTTCACATTTGGTGGGCAGCAAGCCAAGGCCTCAACTGAGCATCTACTTTGGAGGTAGGTGGTGGCCGATGATGTGTGCCAGCATGTGCTCTGGGCAGCTCTCCTCCTTTATCACAGCAGGAGGTGGACTGCCTCAAGGCCTCCTAGAGTTCCTGCTCATATGCTTGCTGCTACCTTCCTAGATGATCTGTGCAAATAGATGCAGACTGTGAGCAAAATTGGAAGAGAGGTCAAAGGGAGCATCTGTCCACCCAATTTGGCGCCTGCCAAGCCTGGCAGCTGAAGGGCATGGTGAAGCCAGGAGGTCCTGCTGTTGGGTTGGTGGCATGGGCTGGCCAGGAGCCTACATTCTACCAAGTCATTTGCCTCTTACAGTGTGCCCTCTGATTTATCCCTAGAGGTTATCTCAGCTTGCATCTCTAAAGGCCAGAGATGGAAGCCTCATGGAGAGCTTTCCAGCTTCAGTTTAGCATTTTGGTTCTGCTCCAGGCATGTTGGGGTGTTGATTCATTTGACAGGATGAGGCCTCTAGCTGCCTTCAGTATGGAAAACCAGTCTGGCTCAGGTTCCACCTTTGATAATTATATCCTTAGCAGTAGTCTACTGTCTTCTGGATCAACTGTGAAGCAGGTGTTGCAAGCTGCTCTAGTATCACAAGGAGGGTGTTCAATATGGGTCATACCTCTACAGAATGGAGAAGGACAAAAGTGATAGAATATGAGGCTGGAGTAGAGAGAATGCATGCTGTAACTTTGGACTATGGACAGGAGCCCTTCTGAGATATAACCATCTGTGCCACACACTATCCCACACTTCTTCTAATTATCAAGTGTCTTTATTCCCAGTTTCAAAGGAGTTACCAGTCTTCCCATGGACCCAATGAGCTTTACTCAAGATCAGAGGACTCTTTAGGGACATTTGCAATGGATTTCAGCAAGTATGCTCATAAGACTATTTGAAAGGTCACTTAGGGCAAGTGCAACAGGATAAATAAAATAACAAATCCATTACAAGGCCCTAGTGAACTCTATCTTTGGGATTGATCATCATCTTGGAGGGCAGAGAAAGGTACAGGGATAAGCTTGCCTTTGGACACAAGGCTTTTTGCTTAGTAATCTAATGGAAATATAATTCATTGAGCACCATTCTGTGCAAGGACTTATGATAAAGACTCAGTGTAACATAGCCCCTGCTTTCAAGGACTTTATGATCCTAGTTGGGAGTGGCACAAAGAAGGGGGCGGATCAGCCAGAATGAGTGTTCCATGGGGAGAAAAGAACCTGTAGGCTGTGCCGAATCTAGATGTTGGGAGTGAGTTGACCTGGTTTACTATATCTGAGCAGGGGCCATTTGGACAATTTGCGGAATCTATTCTCAAATATGCATATGTCTACAATTAGTAAAGACAACAATGTCTTACTTTAGTTCCTTCCAGAAATTAACTCCATAATTCCAGTGCCAGTGATTCATGTGGGAGGTGATCCCTGGAGACACTGCAGGAGACTGAGGAGGAAAACAGGGAGGGGAGACAATCAGTAAAAGTTCATTACTGGCAAGTCACCACTGTAGCAGCCAGACTTCATTCTACACAGAACAGACTTCAGAATCATCCCAAACAAGGGGCAAAGAATCGGAGTGTTTATCTATCACTCCCATCTATAATTGGTTGAAAGCCACTTTTCAGGTATTAACTCCCAAGCCTACTACTTTGTCCTCCTAAAAATAGATACCCATATTCATCATAAGCAGATTTCCAGATGTAGATGCAATAGAAAGAATGTTTACATATACTTCCATTCGTATGTTGAAATCTAACCCTAAAGGTGGTGGTATTAGGTAGGAGCAAGGTTTTTGAATGTCATGAGGATGGAGCCCTCAAGAAAGGGATTAATGACCTTGTAGAAGAAACCTCCTGTAGCTCCCTCCCACTTCCTCTGTGCAAATACAGAGTGAGGAGAGAGAGAGTTCCGCATGGACCAGGAAGTAGACTCTCATCCATCTGCCTCAGTCTTGGACATTCCAGCCTCCAGAGCTATAAGAAATAAATTTCTATTGTTTATAAGCCATCCAGTCTATGCTATTCCATTTTAGCAGCCCACATAGGCCAAGACAGTAGAGCTGAATCCTGTTCTAACTAAAGCTAGGCACCAATGGCATCAAAGACAATGGATGATCAAATCATACATATGATAACATGTGCGTAGAACTTCCACTGTGCACTCTACTTTATCAGACTTTACTCTCCTGACCAACCTATAAGAAAGACTGAGCAAGTGCCAGCTCAGGAGCCATCAAGAATAGTGGCAAAGATTTATTAGATACTAATCCCACCATGACATAGTCACTACAGAGCGAGAGTCATTCTCTTTCTCATGACTTTGAGCCTCATCTTCTCTCCACCTAGTCCAATGTCACCCATCCTCAAAGCTCCACTGGACCCACCTTCTCCTGAAGCTGTCTTCAAGCCATGCTATCGAGCTAGGTCGACCTGCAGGGCCTATAATCATCTCCCTTTCTCATGCTCTGTTCTCACCCAGGCCTTCTTGCTTTACTCTCTGTTGAATCTTTCTCCAGTTGGAACTTTGCCATCTTGCTAACAAGAAGGTTTTCAATTCTCCCCATCTTCTCTATGCGTAGTATGCAGTAGTACGTGCTTAATGCTCATCTGATTGATTTATTCAAAATAGTCCAATATGAGACTCTCTTGCTGAGAGACTGGTTATACTCATCCACCCTACCCTCAGCCTTCCCTGAGAGCTGTCTTAGGCCTTTCCATAATGAGGAGAGAAAGAGAAGTGCCAGAGTCTGGGAACTGTCCGACCAATCAATGAATGGTCAAGTTTATATTGAATGCCTATTGCATATCTAGCTCTGAGTTTATGTGCTGTAGGGGATACAGATATATAAGACTTGCGTGGCATCCTTGGGGAGTCCATGGTTTTATTGCGGAACTAAACTAAAACCTAAAAATCAATTACCTTAGAAGTAATACTGGACTGAGAGGCAGTAAAAAATAGTAGTTAAAGGCTCATAAAAAAAAAAAGGCAGAAAGTCTGAGTTCAGATTCTGGCCAAGTTACTTGCATCCTAGTTGAATATAGCTTTAAATAATTACCCAAGACAGGCTGAGCCTCCATTTCCCCCATCTGGAAACACTAACGGCATATCCTGGTAAGTTTACTATGCGAACAGAAAGAGGTATTGTGCATAAACCACACGGCACTCAGCAGTCATTCCTTGAAATGTATTAGTATCATAATGTAATATTATTATTATTATCTTTTATCTAGTTCAAGTCATTGCTGGCTCAAAGCACCATGGAAGTTTGGGGATATGAATAAGTAGGCATGTCTGGCTTGGTCACAGTGGGAGTCAGGTTGGTCTTGGAAAGAATTTTATCAGTGGGAGAGAAGGGAAAGAGTAGCCCAGGCTGAAGAACAGCAACATGGGCAGCTTGGTGACTAATGCATGCTGGATATGGCACCGTGAGTAACCTGGACCCCCAGGAGAGTTTAGGTTTAGTGTGAAGAGAGTCAGGAATATAGATCCTGAGGTCCAGGCGTGGCTGGAAAGGAATGACTCAATTTCCCTTGGGAAAGGTTTTTGGTACTTACGCGGGAAATAGCATGACAATGGTAAAGATTCAAGAAGACAAATCTTATCAGGGTCCAGGATGGATCCAATTGCAAGGATCTGCAAAGGAGGAGACCACACAGGCTGTGGGGATGGAGCTCCTCTGCCTGTCCAGGACAGATAGAAAGGGAAGTCATATCTCTTTGTGAGACACAAACCGCTGTCCTCTCATTCTCTTTCTTTTTTAATACTGGGCAGCCTTCGACTTCTTCTTAGCATTTAGACAAGAAATAAAACCCAGCCCACCTTCTTCCCTCCATGTCTCTCCTAGGATCCCAGTCCTGTTACACAACGGAAGCATGCATATTTCTCTTTCTTCTCTTTTTGTACTCCAAAGACAGGCTGACATTGGTAAATCACTGTAGCAGGCTTTAAATGATGTATGAAATGAAAAATCTCTTCTCTGTGTATTGGGAGCCTCCTACCTAGCCATGGGCAGTCTCTGTTGGGCTGGCTACTGTATTATTCAGCTCCAAGGAGGTAGCTGGAAACTCCATGGAAGTGAGAATCCTGGAATCACAAAGAAAAACAAAGTTAAAATTTAAAAAAAGAAGAAAAATATCTACTGAAACATAGACAAGTCTCTCTCTGGCTCTTGCCTTTTTTTTAATTTCTGTTGAAATGTTTTAGAAAGGAAAACTTTTTCTGTTCTATGTGCATTTTTTTCCCAGCCAAATCCATGTTCTCATTAATTTTATCATTCACAGCAAAGACTTTGCCAAACCTTTTAGGGTCCTGTACAATTGGGAGTATTTTTGAACATTTCTCAATGACCCTCTTTAGTTTGGCCCCCTCCTTGTGAGGAGGAATGTCCATTGTGGTCAAGGTCTGCCTGACATCAGTGATGTGTCAGTCTACATCCGCTCCCCATTCCAGGGAATCCTACAGTGGGGTCCCGCAGGGCTCACAGGCACAGAAGATAACCTGGGTCAGCTTTAAGAAACCCATCAGACCTATTCCACAGTATCTGCTGATCGCAGACTAAACACATCAATGACCCACTCTGCAAACACTGTCGGTACAGAAAGCAGCAGGCAGCCTTGACTCAGAGCGGCTGCCTCTTGCACATCAGGCTGCGCTACAAATAGACTGAGAGCCTCCTTAGTCTGCAGGGAAGGCAAGCTTGATCAATTTGCTTTTAGCCGATGAAATAATCATTGACGTTTAGACAGACTTCTAATCTTGGCTCAGAGGAGTCAAGAGGCATTTTAGCTGCAGATGGTAAACGGTTTATACAGGGATATATTTAGCAAAGTGGCCTGGGGGTAGAAAGGGAAGAGGCCTTGGGATCCAGGAAACTGGCGGGACCTGGAGCTGTGTCAGTGCCTGGAGGCATGTCACATAATTCCCTGACCCTTATCTCAGGTGTGTGTCCTGGGTTTGTTCACACATGTGCACAGGAAGGGGCTCTATGCTAGGGGTGTGGAATCATAAACACAATGTGCACATTCTCTGTGCCTGACCAGGAAAGTGAATAAAAGAATGTGCATAAGAAGCTTGGGAAGGACTTTGTGGTTGGTACTTGCAGTAATGGAGAAGAAGGGCCCAGGATGGCCCAGTATGCCTGGATTTGAATCCCAGCTTCATGAGTTTCAGTGGCCTGCGCTCGAGGAAATTCATTTCCGCTCTTCTTCCTCCTCTGTAAATCAAGGAAAATTCTATACCAAATCCTAGATAAATACATGATGAGAGACAAATACATGTAAAGCACATTCTTCAATTCAGTATTGGTTACTATGTCTTGCAGGAGAAGCTGTGGCAGATTGATACCTAAGTCAGTGAAGTAGGTAGAAATAGAGTCTGCTCAAGATCACATCACACATAGTCAGTTCCAGTCTCATGTTTGCTTCCAAAAGGAAAGGCATAATTTACCTTCCCGGGCAGTAAGAATCATGGAACTCAGTGGATGACCTCTCAGTGGATGCTCCCACCTCCAATTATGTGGTAATCACATGTCACTGTGGCCAGGCAGACCATAAGCCTTTCTGACCTCACACCTGCCTTTTTCCAGATTGCACAGAGGAAAGGGGAAAGAAGATGCACCATTACTAGCATTCTTAGGATCATGTTGGAAGCCTCTATCCCTTATGCAGAAGATAGAGATCCTGAGATGGAGTAAGAGACTGGGTTTGAATGAGTACATCTCTGGGATTCAGTTTCTTCATCCATTAAATGGAATAATAACCTTACTTTATAGACTTCACTTCTCATGAAAAGTTGATCAGGTAAGGGCTTTTATACACTTCAATGAGCCCTAACTTTGTAACATGTATTGTCTTGTCAGACCCTCTCTTCAGCCAAGTCAACTTCAGCCAGGAAGCCCAGAGAAGAGGGAGGAAGAGAGAAAGAGCATCCACTTTATTACCTGTCATCTGAACCAACCTGACTGTCAGGGGGTTAACAATGTGCAGCCAGGTTACAAGTCCATGAAGAACTTGCTCCTCCCCCCCCCAACCCCTACTTTGCAGCTTCCCTTTGTTATGGGAGTTTTGGCAAGTAGAGAGGCAGGGTAGAGAAACTGCAGACACTTAGGGTTTCCCAGAAACTAATAAATCCAACTTTATATAATTTCATTGACTTAACTTGTCTTCCTCTCCTCTCTCTATATTACTACACATATCCGCCTGCATGTACACATACGTGAGCATGCATACATTTGGCATGCGCGCGCGCGTGCACGCACACACACACACACACACACACACACACACACACACACTTCTGGAACCCTGACATGGGTCTCACTGTCTTTTTTCTAAGGCAGTCAGGAGGAAGAGGCTGGGATCTCAGTGAACAACAGCAGCTGAGCAGTCTTCTGTCTTCCCCGCAGGTAGCAGGTTCCAAACCAGCAGCCCAGGTGCTGCAGAAACACCTCCATACTTTGTTCCACACCTCCACATAGGGGAAGAAGGAGAGGAGGCTGCAGCAGCCAGCTATCAGCAAAAGCTGCTGACAGCCTTTCAGAGGGGAGGGAGAGAACAGGAAGGGGTGGGCTGGTCCCTAACCATCACACTTCCTAAGCCTTGAATTAACGCCTTGTCACTCACAGCTCAGATCTCCCTGTGCTGGCTGTCATGGCTGTGGAGCAGGTGTGATGCTCAGGCTCTCCATGGTCAGAGAGCTACAGCGAGCGACTGCCAGCAAAGCTCCCACTCTCTCTGCTTCTTGAGTACCTGGCAGTGCAGATGGACAGCACCTCAAGGGTCTGCCCTGTCAAATGTATCACTCTCTGGCAGAGAGCTCTGTACCTGTTTTGTCTCTCAGAATCATAGAAAGTCAGAACTGGAAGGGAATGTCAGTGTTACCAAAGGAATGAGACCCAAATCGAGTCATGGTGGGAGGGGCCCATAGTAACTAGGGAAGCCAGATGTCCTGTCTCCTGGTGCAGGGCTTGCTCTGTTACCTCCCCATGGAAAGCACTGAACCTCTTCTTTGTTCAGGGCTGCAAACTGTCAAGGAGGGACTGAGTCCCTTCCCAAGCCTGCTGCTCATGTGCCCATGCATGTTAAACTAGCGCACTGGGTATCCGCTCAGATGGGTTCTGATTTACCCAGTGGAAGAAAAGCAGTTCCCGGGAGGAATGGAGTTTTTGTCAATACCCACAGCAGAGGGCTGGCTTGATTTCCAGTAAGAGTCGGTGAAGCTGGGAAAATTACTCATTACAATTTTATTGATATTCACTTCACTCTGCAAGTGACGTGGGATGGTTCTGACAGGATGTCTTAATGGGACTGGCTAAGAATCCATCTGGGTGGATGTGGGTTAATGGGGCTGAAGAGTAAAAAGGGCTCAACAGCATCACCCCATTACCCAAGCATCCCTTGTGTTGTCAGAGGCATACAACACGTGAAGAGTGACCAGTGTGATGCTGGCGGCAGAGCTGCCACTCAGGACCTTCACAGGTGTCTTTTCTGTTCCCTTCCCCTGTCACCTGGACAGCTTTGAACTTCTTCACTCAACAGTGGCTTCATAGATCAGGACTACTCACTGCCAAGAAGGGCAGGAGCTAGATATGCCCCTGTCCAAGACATGTGACCGTGAGCCGCACCCATGTGCAGGAAGCTAGTCTGATACTGAAGGTCTAGAAACAGACACTAGAGCTCATTGTCTTATCACCTGATACAGTCCAGACATCCATGACAGCCTGTTGGATGGACATGCCCCGAGCACTAGACCCAGAGAAACAGTCCACACTCAACTCCAGACTCAGGCAGAGAATGCATGACTGAACAGTTTGATGTGGATTTTTTTGACTGACAGACAAGACTCCAGTATACAAGCACACATTTCAGGAAATCTCTGTGATTTGCAAAGGGCTCTCCCATACACGGTTCCATTTGATTCTCATTGTTAGCCTGAGAAGTAGAGTCAGAGACATTTTTGTGAATGCCTTGTGTTGGTCAGTTGCCGGTTTGAGTCCATTCCTTGCACTTCTCTTGCAAACGACACTGCCCCAAATTCCTTGCCAACTGGATTCTGTGTAGATTCAGCCAATGGTAGGTACCATCAGGGTTTAGAGGGTAGAGAACTAGAGAGGTGTGGTGAAGTAACCAGTTAATCCTCTGTGTCTACTCTGGGTGGCCTCTCAGAGAGTCATTGTGTCTCCTAGGTGGTCTCAGTTCCCACAGGGCAGTTTTTGCTCCTGAGTTCAGAAAATGCCACTTCCTCTATTGGTGCCTCCAGCCCCTGACAGGCTGCTCCCTGTTGCCAGCCTCTCCCCTGATTCTCAACCCTGGTTCTCATTCTCCCTGTTAGACTAACTACATGGCTCTGTATTCCTGACAGCAGCCTCAGTGGTACATTCCCCCAAAATGATAAACCCAGGCCTCAAAGGAGGTAAATTGATTTGCCCAGGGAAATGCAACTACTGTGTCCTGTGTCCTTAGCACAAGTTTTCAAACTTCCAAAACTCTGCGCTTTGTGCTACCCATGTGAGGGCATAGAAAATGAATATCTCAATTAATATAGACTCAGAAACCCAAGGAGGAAAACACAACCACAGAGCAAGGGAGCACAGTAGAAGAATTCCTTTTCCATTGGGAGCACAATGAAGGCTTTGCAGAAGAGATGGAATGTGAGCTGGGTGGGAGGTGAATGATCTAATGTTGATTAGAGTAAAGGAGGTGGCATTGCTCAAGCCACAGAGAAGGATGAATAGTCCTACGCTTTATCCTTCTCTACACTTCCTAAGCTTTGCATTCTCTTTCCCTTGGACCACAGCAGTAAGCTCCTCTCTGGCCTGCCTGTTCATTCTCCTCCCCATTGTTAGAAAGAGTCTCTAAAGCAAGCCATCCTTCTGCCTTTGACAATTCCCCAGGGTCAGCTCGTGGACCCTGAATCCTAGGGCCCTGACAATCTGGCTCCTCTGCCATCACGCAGCATTCTGTCTAGCCATATCTGGTCATGCACTGCTTTCTTTGCTCATGCTCTTCCCCCTGCCTGGAACACCTTTCCTCCTTTCTTCATTCAGCAAATTCTCTCCCATCATCTCTTAAATCATATCTCTTCTGTAACTTTTCATAGCTCCTTTGAAACATAAACAGAGGCACCATTCTGTGTGTTCCCAGACCCATTTCCCAGCCTTCTACTGAATTGTATCAGATTATCCAATCATTATGCAGTCACATATTAGTTCCGACACTCCAGGAATTCCCAGTTTGGTCAGCGTTAACTAGTCTTCCATATTCCTGGCACCAAGCACCAGGCAACTGGCACATCATGCATGCTTTTTAAACGTATGTTGTTTTGAAATGAATTCCAATGACATTCCCCCTCGTCATCTCCTTCCTCTCTTTGATCCCTTTCCTGAAATCCCTCTACTTAAACTGTCAGTCAGAAATGCCTGTCCCATTTCATAATGTGCTGGGCTTTTTCAGAAGCATCTGTACAGCTGGATGATAAAAATGATAGGAATGCAGAGTAACAAGTAACATAGGTTGTGTTTCTCACACAACAATACATTGTCACAGAGTTAGCATAGCTATCAAGGTGAAGAATAGCAGAGAAGAACTCAATCAGAAAGGAATTCCAAGAAAAAAAGAATCTATATTCTACTGAGATCTATAGAGAGGGTAAACAGGGGTGGCAAAAACAAAAAAAAAAAACAGCAAGACTCAGGTGAAGGTTGATGCTGTTAACAAGCAATCTAATTTCTATAACCTCTTGATTCATCCTCTTTTGTCTTCTCCAGCTTGGTTCATTTGATTGTTGCTTTCTCTCTCAAGGAGCTGGACTCCCCCTTAGGGAGAAACATATTTCTACAACTGTTCCTCCTCTAGATCCAGTTACAGTTTACTCTTTAATGGCAATTAGATTTATATGTTTTGGTCAACATTTCATGTCTTTTTTTATGTGTACTTATGTGGGATTTCTCTCATTCAGTTGTTATTGAGCTCCTCAAGCTCAGATGCCCTTGGGGTCACCCTTTCCTTCTCTTCCTCTTTAGCATGGCTTCCGCCTATCCTTTGGGATTGCTGTCCACTATCTAGTCCAAATGCCTCTTAATCTTCAGAAAGCATTGTATAGCACAATGGTTAAAAGTATAGACTGGAGGTGAGCGTGGTGGCACACACCTCTACCCTCAGCCACTTGAGACTCTAAGGGAAGAAGATTGCAAGTTTGAGATCAATCTAAACAACTTAATGAGTCCCTTTCCCAAAATTAAATATATACGTTTTTTCACACATACATATATATCTACACAAAGATGTATAGATATGTGTGTGTGTGGAGAGAGAGAGAGAGAGAGAGAGAGAGAGAGAGAGA